GCTTTCATGTGACTGCAAGCTGCAGTCTATGAGATAATGATTGGCCCTACTGTGGTAAAAGTCATCTTGGATAAATTGAGTCTGTAAAAAGGCCATTATAATTGGTTAAAGATTTATAATGTGGATCAGCAAGAAGGGAGGGTTTTGCCTGTGGAGGATAAGGGCATCATTTAGCATGGATAGTGGCACAAAGTTGGAGATGAACCTGACATGTGTAGTATTTAATGAAGAGAACAGATTGATAGGAACAGAATGTGCATGAGTGTGCTGACGAGGGGATTAGATGGGAAGGCCAACAGAGGTGAGGTCGTGGGGGCCAGGATGCTGGGTGAGGAATTTGGATTTTATCCTCCCGATGAGAAAGCTTATAGGCATTTGTCCAAATGCATCACAGGATCAGTGATATCTTATTTTAACAGATTAACCCAGAGTTATCCAACATAGAATAAAAGGAGTAAAGAGAGAAGGCAGCAAGACCAGGTTCCAAGTTGATATGTATAGTACACGTATTTAAGTCTCTGGTTCAGAAGCCAAGTAATGAGAATGAGAAGGAAGAGCTGATAGGATAGTTTTAGGATAAGTTTTATTTTTTAACTTTCACAAGCAGTCAATGGTTATTAAAAATGATGATAGCATGGATTTGTGTGATGAAAAGAATAAAATTCACTGTTCTTATTGCTAAACTATACACTTGATTTTTGTTTCAATATATGCCTATTGAGATCACAGTACACACACACACACACACACACACACACACACACACACACACACACGGAACTGTCCTTGAGCTTCTTTTGCTCAAGGTGAATACTTGAGACACAATACCACTCGTGGCTTTTTTGAGTAGTTTGTTGGAGATAAAAGTTGCGGGGGGAGGGTTGGGTGGAGAGATGGGGGGAGTATGGGATGGGAAGTGGAAACAAAGGAGGAGGCTACAACAATGCTTGATGAGAAATGTACTCATTTTTTTTGCCCATGTAATTGTAACTCCTCTGTACAATATTTTCACAATAAAAAAAGAAATAAAAAAAGTTTCCTGCCCCATTTGTTAGGAAATGGAAAGACTTGGAAAAAATTATATTAAGTGAAGTAAGCCAGGCCAAAGAAACATAGGTCCCATGGTTTCCCTTATTTGCAATAACTAGTATATGTCTGAGACAAGCAGAAAAGGTCAAATAAGATGATGTTAGGTGAAATGAACCCCAAGAAAAGGACTAAAGTGGCTTTTCTTTCTTGCTATTGTTTCTAACATATTTATAAGATGATTCTTTGTTGCTTTGTGTGTCCCTCCACCACAATATAACCCGTTTTCACTATATTTGATGTTGGTATAATTTGGGGAGTGGAAGGGAAAAAAGAAATTGTTTAAATAGGAATACAGGTTGACCCATTGCAACAATGAGATGTACAAAACGTTATGTCGATAAACGAACTTTACAACTTTGGCGAAGAGGGGAGGGTTAGGAGGGGGGTGATGGGAGGGCAGGGATGGTTAAGGGGAAACAAAGGAGGAGGCAACAATGCTTGATAAGAAATGCACTCATTATCTCTGTATGCTTTTTCACAATAAAAAAAATTTATTAAACAAAAAGTTTGGCTTCACACCATGATCCTCCTCAGATCTCAGCCTTCTGAGTTGCTAGGATTACAAGCATGAGCCACTGGCATCTGGCTGAAATCACACTATCTTAAGGGTGTGTGTGTGTGTGTGTGCGTGTGTGTGTGTGTGTGTGTGTGTGTGTGTGTGTGTGTGTGTTATTCTCGTTTTGGTGCTTGAACTCAGAAGCAGGGTGCTGTCCCTTGGCTTTTTTGCTCAAGACTGTTGTTCAGTGATTTGAACCAGAGCTCCTCTCATGGATTTTTGGCTTTTTGGAGAGTAGAATGTTACAAGTTTTCCTGCCTGGACTGTCTTAGACTGTCTTTGAACCATGATCCTCAGATTTCAGACTTCTCTGTAGCTAGGATTACAGGTATGAGCTACTACTGCCTGGCAAGGTTCTTTTTGTATAATTAAATTTATGTATGTATGTATGTATTACCATACTAGGACTTGAACTCAGGGCCTCCAACTTCCACTGAGATTATTAAGCTCAATACTGGCACTTTGACACTTGAGCCACACCTCTGCTTCTAGCTTTTTGCTACTTAATTGAGATGAAGTCATTCACACTTTTCTGCCTGAGTTAGTTTTGAACTCTGATAGTTTTCAGCTTCCTAACTAGCTCAGATTACAGGAGTAAGCTACAAGTGCCTGGAATGAGCTTTTTAAAATAGCTGCCCATGGTTCCATTTTTGATGGAGTTACACTGCATCAAATAGTTTATTGTTAAACTATTCCATTATTATTAATTCAGATTTCCCCGATTTTTGTTATTCTAAATATTGCTATAAACATCAATCAACACACAGTTTTATTCTGTACTTCTTGTCCTATATTTATTTGAATATATGGATTCAGTTTTATTGAAAACATTTTTAAATTTTTTTTTATTGTGAGAATACCGTACAGAGGAGTTACAATTACATAGGCAAGATAACGAGTGCACTTCTTATTTGTTCATCGTGGGGCCTGAACTCTGGGCCTAGGCACTGTCCCTGTGTTTCTTTTGCTCAAGGCTAGTGCTCTACCACTTCAACCACAGCACCACTTCTGGCTTTTTCTGTTTATGTGGTGCTGAGGAATTGAACCCAGGGCCTCATGCATGCAAGGCAGGCACTCTACCACTGAGCCACCTTCCCAGCCCCTGAAAAGATTACTTTTTAAAATTTATTTTTGTCTTTTTCTTCCTTTAGCAGTACTGAAGTTTAATGCAAGCATCATCCTTGCTCTTTGATGAGACTACATGGAGCCACATCTCCAGCCCTAATTTTCACTGGTTGCTTTTAGGAATAGGGTCTCACTTCCTGCATGAGCTGTCATCTGAGCCAACACCTGTTATAGGTGGGATCACAGGTGCACACCACCGTGTTCAGCTTCTCTTCCCTGGAGATAGAGTCTTGAGAACTTTTTTTGTCGTGCCTGACCTGGAACCACAATTCTCTAAATCTCAACATCTCATGTAGCTTACTTAGCATGACAGGCACACATCATTGTTCTGAGCTATGTTGGCTGAAAAGGTGTCTTGCTAACTTTTCTGCTGGAATGGCTTCGAACTTCAATCCTCCTATTCTCAAGCTCCCCAGTTGGAATTATAGATGTGAGCCACAGGCAACATTGTTTTACTTTTATCTCTGCTTTGTTTCTCCCTATCTTTAATTCACATTCAAAATTAGGAAAAAAGATAATTTTCAAATATCTTTAAACAGTCTATTAAAACTCTCCTGCCTCTGTTGAAATAATTGTCTTACTTCAGTGCTTCTCCTTTAGTCTCCTGATATTTTAATTCATTCCCCTATGTATGAACATATAAATTGCTTCCTCGTTTCAAACAAAGCTGTGATGACTAACATTACACATAATTCTATGTGTATAAATAAAAGAATATGGACCTCAAATTAGTTTCAGGGACCCAAGCCATGTAAGTTTCTGTGTCTAGTGCATTCAGTTAAGGCAGCAGACCTGGCTGTAGGTACAACCTAAGACTAATGGGTTCCTCGTTCTTCCAGTTTTTAGTACAGGAATTTTAGGTTATTTTCTTATACATTGATCATTCCATCTGCTTGTTTGGAATTTGCCCTTTGGGTTTGTTTTGTTTTGTTTTTTGCTGTTTTCTGGACAATACTCTTATGACAATTATATGGTTTGACAAAATACTCTACCAGTGCCTCTCATGTCTTTTAATCCTGTTTATTAAAACTTATTTTCAAGCCAGGAATCGGTGGCTCACACCTGTAATCCTACTCAGGAGGCTGAGATCTGAGGATTGTGGTTCAAAGCCAGGTGGGGCAGAAAAGTCTGTGAGAATCTTATCTCCAATAAACCACCAGAAAACTGGAAGTGGTGCTGTGGCTCAAGCAGTAGAGTGCTGGCCTTTAGCTGAAGAGTGCAGAGACAGCGCCCAAGCCCAGAGTTCAAGTCCTATGACCAACAAAAAAATAAAAAACTTATTTTCAAACCATATTATAGAAAAATGTATCAGGCTGATCTTGTAGTTTAGATATTTTCTGTCTTAATTAAGAAATTCTCTAATAATATTACACATTTTTACTTGCATTTCATTCTAGCTGTTATGGGTTATTTTCTATTCTTTTATTTATTAATTCATTCAGTTATGTATTTTAGTACTGGAGTTTGAACTCAGGCAGGGCCTTATGCTTGGTAGGCAAATGTTCTAACACTTTAATCACACATACCTACAGCCCTTTATACTTAATTACTTTTTAAATATTGTCTTACCTGGACTAGCTGTGAATCATGGTCTTCCTATCTCTGCCTCTTATGTAGCTGATACTAAATTTTGAACTCATCCAACGCTAATTTCATAACTAACTTTCATAGCCATTTTCCAAACTGAGGAAAATGAAAAGAAGAAAACTTGGCAAATCATATTGTTTCTTCCATTATGAGTCTCTAGTTAAACCATGCAAATGTCTTTAATTTTTATATATGTAAAGATATACACATCCACCATGAATTATTATATTGTAAATTGATATGGTTCTCATTTTTCACAACACCTATCAGAGATAATCTACATGTATTCTTCACAAAATAATTATTTTTTATTTGGATTGAGCACAGTTTCAATACCCATGTATTTTAATCCTTAGTCAATGCAAGTTGATCCATGAAGAGAGAAGGAATATATCATCATTTTTTAAATGAATGGTTAATTCTTATTATAAAGGGGATGTACAGAGCAGTTACCATATCATGAGTATGGTAATGAGTACATGTCTTATGGGACAATGTCACCCCTTCCTTAGCTCTTTCCCAGTTTTTCCCTTCAGACCCACCCACTAGTTGTGTAGTTTATTTTCAACATAGTGTCTACTGTGTACTACTGCTGCATACATTGTCATTTTTAAAAGTTAACTGAGGATTGTTTTACTTTCAGCAAGTCACAGAAGCTGTGAGTCCTACAGTGTTACCCCCTTCAGCTTTACCACTGGACCTGCTTAATAATGCGGTTACTGCCTTTAGTACCTTGGAAGATCTTATTCGCTATCTTGAACCAGACAGATGGCAGCTGGACTTAGAAGATCTGTATAGGCCAACGTGGCAGCTTCTTGGCAAGGCTTTTGTTTTCGGAAGAAAATCCAGAGGTAAGCTCCTTCTTCAGAGTAGAGCCTCATTTAATTTTCTTAGCAGCCAATTGCAGATTCTTCTGTGGGGAAAGTTTAATATTCTTCAGGGGCATATTCCAACAATCCAGTTTCTTATCATTTAAACAGACTTATATAATGAGAATAGAGACCAAAGGAAAATCAATGGTAACTCAAGTTTGGAAAATTAAAAGATGTACTTCTGTTGAAAATTCCTACCTTTTTTCATTCTTTTATTTTATTTTATTGTAAAGATGCTGTACAGAGGGGTTACAGTTACATGAGTAAGGCAATGATACATTTCTTGTCTAGCATTGTTACCCCCTTCCCTTGTTGTTCTCCCACTATCCCTTTCTGCCCCCACTCCCTCACTCTTCTCCCATCCTCCGCCTTCCCTCCCAAAGTTGTAAAGTTCATTTCCAATATAGTGTCTTGTGGGTATCATTGTTGCAATTGGTCATCCTGTGTCCTTGTTTCAGTGTTTTCTTATTCCCTTTCCCCTCTCCAAATTAGATAAATGTATATACATGATGCAGGGTACCAAAATCAAGTACAGTGACTATAGAGGATATACCATAGGGGGAGGAATATACAAAGGAAACAAAAAAAACCTTACATAATACATTAAAACCAAAAATGACAAAGAAAGACATCCTGTGTCCATATCTTGGGGTTCATTTTACTTATAATCCTGTCTTTTCTTATCTTCCCAAATGCCATTTTGATGATATTCTTCATTGTCTTTCAAAAACCCATTCCAACTAACTTTGGGTGAGTGAGTGTGTGTGTGTGTGTGTGTGTGTGTGTGTGTGTGTGTCTATTCTTGGGGCTTCAATTCCTGGACTAGCTCAAGGCTAGTGCTCTACTACTTGAGCTACAGCTCCAGTTCCAGCTTTTGGGGATAGTTTATTGGAGATAAGAGTATCATGGACTTTCCTGCATGGGCTGGCTTGGAACATGATCCTCATATCTCAGCCTCCTGAACAGCTAGGATTACAGGCATGGGCCACCAGTACATGGCCTTACTTTTAAGTTTTTAAACTTAAAGACTCAAGAGAAATGGTCAGAGATGCAAAACCCAGGCTCAGGCTAGAAAATGGGGGTACTATATCTGTAAAACTAAAGATGAAAGACGACCCTGTCTTCCCTAGCTCAAGGCCATATCCATTTATATTTCCTAAGCCTAGAACATCTAAATAGTATGGAAAATAACCATGTACCAACATAAAAGAGTTAGAAGTTTCCAAGGCAGAATTCATAGCAAGGAAACAATGACCTAAAGGAAAACTGACCACGAAAATTGTGTTTGAGTAACTTTGTATTTGAACTGATTACTTTTGACCAAATGGATAAATCTCCTTATAAAAGTGAAATGATAAATTTAATTCCACATCATTAAAAAATTGAAAAAATTGTCAACTGATTTTTCTGAAAGGATTCTAGTGACAGTACAGTTGGGACATGTTCAAATCAGACATAAAAATGTAATAGAAATAACTGTATAATTGTAATTATAATACACTTACAATAATCTGTTTTGGTCTATCAGCAACACTGAAATCTACCCAAGGATCACTTTTGAAAATAAAATGACAGTCTCGAGAATTTATAGAAGGAACAATGCACAGTTAATTTGAGCCATTCCCAGGGCAGATTGCACCAGACTTGTTCTAAGCTGTCAGAAAGAAATCTGATCCCTGCTCTTCCCAGAACTGATTTGCAGCCCTCTTGGATCCTGAGATTTAGTCTCAGCAGGTCATGTTCAGACTTGCCCAGCTATGGTATTTTGCTAGTGGTTTCCTTTTGGCAATATATGAAGTCAGTGTTCAAGGGCATGGGCAGTCGAATCCCATCCAGATGCTAAACACTGTTACATATTTATAAGATTTCTTCTTGATGAATACTTGATGGATAACTTACCAACAACACTTCTCTTCCCTTCCTCCCACTTGGGAACAGGAAGATGCACGTCTGCCAGAGTAGCTGAAACGGTGTGAATAAGACCCTTGTTAGCAAATGTGAAGTAGATTATCGTGTGGATCTGTAAGAAGCAGGGCAGTGAAATGAATTCTAAGCTCGTCTAATTTTTTGACATCTGATTTCTGGATCACAGCCTAAAAATCCTCCCTTCCAGCCATTCCTTTATACCTACAGCTCCAAGTTTTGGCCAGAGGCAAGCATGTATTTAAACGCTTCCAACATTGAACCAACCATATCTTTCAAGTTTTCATTGAACACCTTCAAAATTGAAACTTTTTGCAGTTTGCCAGAACTATTAACTTTTAAATCATACAGTAAGTGTGAGAAAAGCAATGTATATTTTTGGAACTTTACATAAACCAAAATGCAGGTGTGGGATAACAGCAATACAGACAAAACGGACCGCCTGCTTAAGATACTTTCTACAAAGGAACAGTAGAAAAACTTTTAAAAGCTTCTAATTAGACATCAAAATAGATTTTCCCCAGAATAAACATATCACAGTGTTACCACATTCATCTTGGAAAGACCACCCTGAGATTCCATTATGGTAACACAATATCCTTGGATTGCATATTTTAAAAGAAGGAACTAACAAAGCCAAGTGTGGCTATATTTTTCCTTGACAGTATTATCCTTCCGCTAAAACTTACACTGGTGATGGAATTTGCTTTGAAATCATGATTTTGCTTTGTGATATGTTTAAAATCTTTGGGAAGAAAAACTAATATGTGTATTATCTCAGGAAGTAGTTATGAAAAGAAGATCTAAAAGCTGAGTATTTTTTATTATTTGCTAGAAGCAAACTGCCTTGATATTACTAGAGTTGCACTATCAAATTTTTTCTTTGAGGGAGGATGTTTCTGTTTTCTGTTCCTTTCCTTTCTTTCTTTATCTTCTACTTCCATTTCCTTCCTTTTTGCCTAGATGCTCTTCTGAATTTCTGATACAAGATTATTGTTGCATAACATAAAAGTTTGTTTTCTTGAGAACTCAGGAGCAGGAAGCATGAATCTCAAGACAATGTGCAAATTTATACTCAGTTCTTTCCATCCCAACATGGGATACTGTCCTATATTTCAGCTTCTTTTCTTTTTATTTCTTTTTCTGGTCATCATTTATTGTTACTGCAGAATAGAATAAAATAAGATGCTTAGTTCTAAGTCTAGCTTCACTAGGACTAAAAAAACAGAAAACAAAAAAACAAAAACAAAAAACCCCTGTACCTTGTGTGTCAAATGTGATGAATGAGTGGAAATTAAGTTGAAAGTGTGTTTAAGTTTTCACATTGTAGCAGGTATCATGACTCAGTTCACTCGGGAAATATATCTAGCTTTTTATTGTGGTTAAGTAAACATTTTACAAAGAACATATGCTCTCTAATTTTCTAGTTTCACCAAATACCATGTTTAAAACTATTTAGAGTACCTCAGTATCTTTTGAAAGCTTTGAGCTTCATTCACCTTCTGAAAAGGGATAAATTTTTTATCTTAATGTCCACTAACAATTGTAGCTTTTGTATTGTGTATTCTTTCTCTCATCTCACCTAGATATTACCTTCTAGAGAAAAGATCTGCATAAGATCATATATAGTTTTAATAATAAAATAGAAATTTGCATATCCATGGTTAATTCAGCAAAATGGAAAATATGTGATGTCATTTAACATAATCATCTCATTCATTTCACTTAGAGATTTTTTTCAGTGTATTTGAGAGAAAAAAGATATTTGCTTTTAAATTTTTAATAGTTTTGCATTCACTAGACACTGATGGCTCATGTCTGTAATCCTGGCTGCTCAGGAGGCTGAGACCTGAGGATCACAGTTTAAAGCCAGCCTGAGTAGGAAAATCTGTGAGACTCTTTATCTTCAAGTAACCACTAGAAAATTAAAAGCTGAGCAGTGGCTCGAAATGGTAGATAGATAGCTTTGAGAAAAAGAGCAAAGAGAGGATGCCCAGGCCCTGAGTTCAAGCCCCACAAATGACAAAAAAATAAAGTTTGCAGTCAAAAGATTGCTTACAAAATCATGACTCAAAGAAAACTGTGATTTAGTCTATCAAATTGGAAAAATTAATTTTCAGCTTAAAATTGTTGAAATGGACCAAGTAAAGCTCCCATCCGTGCATTAACCTAGGTTTTAACCAGCCACTCAATTGACATGTTTATAAAGAATCATTACATATGCACATTTTTGTAATATAGTTCTCAGGTACACTAAAACTGTCCTCCTTTGACAATTTGGGAGACAGCTCTAATAAATTTAGAACAACAATTATTTGATTCTTAATTACTTTTATTTTTTAAGATTAAAAACAAACAGTAGCAGTTGATTTTTACATCTGTATTTTTACAATGACAATCCTTAAGCTAGAAAATACTTTCATACAAGTTTATCATGTTTCCAGAGTTATAAAGATATTTAACTAGATGCATTATATTTATATAGCATTCCTAAGTTTTTTTTAAAAAAAAAACTAAAACAGAAAGAACTGTGTCTGAATAGATGATTTATAAAATGTTACTTTGCTATGATTTTCCTGAAGCTTTATTATTTTGATTTAATAGCAATGTTTCTTTAAGGATTCACTACACCTATCCAATAAAAGGCTATTTTGTTTTATCTTTACAAGTAGATAATCTTAAAAAGAAAAAAGATGCAACATAGTTAACCAAGTTGGTACAAGAGTAGAGACAATGGTTATAACAAAACTAGACTTCTTTCTTTAGCATGCAGAAGATAAAAATCGGAAGGAAACTAGTAAATTTCAAAGACCATATCCTAACACATTTGTTCTCTCTAGCAACTTCTGCTTTTCTAAAATACAGCATTTTATAATCAGCTCTCTTCAGAAAGATACCTCCTCCATTCTCTTTTTGTATGTGATGAGTTTCTTGGCTATATAGTTTATAGAAAATTCTAGTGACAAGATTAAAACTTGCTCGTCTTTGTCTGAGGCTCTAATCCTTTTAAAAAGTGCATTTGTTATTTATTCAAAGCATTCAGTTTAACATTCTAGACTTCATTCCAAAGCTCTCCTTGTCTGCTTTTTTACTAAGGTTCAAAGGTGTAGCCCTCACCCTCTCTGTCAAGTTTCCTATTTATAACTCTCAACTGTTTAGTTGGCTCTGATCTTAATATTGCACAATGGCATCCCTTTGTTCATCCCTAAGTTATAATGAAGCTTTGTTTTCTAGAAAAAAGAAAGTCCAGTTGGTGAGAGTAGAGCCCTATAATGTCACTCAACTAACAAGGGATATTGTTAGAGCTATTGCTTTCTCTATGAAAGAGCTTTATGAAATAAATGCACATTCAGACATAAACATCTACAGTTTCTTTGCTTTTTTTATGTCTTAGTTGTGGATCTGAACCTCCTGAAAGAGGAGGTAAGATTATACAGCTGCACACCTCGGAACTTCTCAGTGTCCATACGGGAAGAGCTAAAGAGAACCGACACCATTTTCTGGCCAGGTTGTCTCCTGGTGAAACGTTGTGGAGGAAACTGTGCCTGCTGTCTCCACAACTGCAATGAATGTCAGTGTGTCCCCAGCAAAGTCACCAAGAAATATCACGAGGTGGGTACATTACTGTGTTCGTGGCTTCATTTATTATTTGTGACTTCAGATGGAACAGTGAATCTAAAATTGATTTGTGTTTGGAAAAGAAAAGTAGCATATTCTTTAGAGAGAGAGAAACAAGGGTTATGACATAACCAAGGTGTTTTCAAGTTTAGAACTTCTCTTTGTGAAGACTGTGATTGGCAGGGGTATATTTGGATTCTATAAAATAGGCTAATACCTCAGCTTTTCCTGGCTTTCTTGTTCCCTGACAGTTACTAAATCACAATCTTTTTGGAAAACAGATCAAAATCAGCCACTGGTTGTTAACTACAGAACAATATACTGTCGTGTAAAACTCCTAAAAGTCCTCAGGAAAATGAATTTCTGCCCCAGTTTTAAGTTACAGACTTGGTGTCTCCCAGCTCCTGCTGGCCAGCCTTACTGTTGTCCCATCCAGTGGGTACTCAATAAAGAAAAAAAAATGAGGTGAATGCCAGTGACTCATACATATAATCTAGCTATTCAGGAGCCTGAGTTCTGTTTGATCAATTTTCAAAGCCACCTTTAGCAAAAAGCCCATGATGGTCCATCTCCAATGAACCAACAAAAAAGCAGGTCTGGGAGCATCACTCAAATGGTAAAGTACAATTTGAACAAGCACCAGGCCCTGAGGTAAAATACTAGCAGGAAAAACAATTTAGGTTGTTAGCTCTTAGTGAGTATTAAAATTGAAATGCCTCAGATACTGGGCTGGTATTAGAGTCGCCTGGTGTAACCTAAGAGATGTGATAAGGATATGAATTTATCTGTGATTGTGATGTTTTCATACCTAAAGTTATTCAACCTTGAATTTGCTGAAGTAGGTGGATTTGAGAACCTGTGTTAGGCTTTAGGTCTAGCACTTTATGACCACCATTCTTAGACCTAGAAACCCAGAAACCCAGACTTGACACTATGTTTTTTTTTTTTTTAATTACAAGCTTACCATATGCTGAGAATGCATCATGCTGTGGTTCCACAAGCCCCAGGTCAACAATAATTCCCTCCATTCTATTCTTCTACAGTTCTTTATATAAATAATATTAGTTTTAGGTAAAACTTTGGCTCTAAGTATATAATACCTATTTTTAAGCCTCAGAAAAATTCTTTAGTTTAAAACCATCAGCAAAACTTTCAGACTCAGTAGCTTTCTTCCGAAAAAGCATTGATCACCAGACTTTGCATGGGATGATCATAGCCATATTTTACCTACAGGTAATATAACTATAGTTGTTCTTCTAAATGTATGATAATTAAATGACATTCATATTGTTGATATATTCATATGGTTAATTCTCTCTCTCTCTCTCTCTCTCTCTCTCTCTTTCTTTCTTTTCTTTCTTTTCAGTCATAGAGATTGAATTGAGGATTTTTCTTCAAGGCTAGTTCTCTACAACTTTGAGCCACAGCACCACTTCCAGTTTTCTGGTGGTACATTGGAGATAAAAGTCTCATGGACTTTATGGCTCAGGCTAGCTGAGAACCATGATCCTCAGATCTCAGCCTCCTAAGTAGCTAGGATTACCCACATGATTGACTGGCTCCTGGCTCTTCTTTTTTTCTTAATAAAATAGTTTTACTCTGCTGACCTTAGATCCATTGGGGAAAGTTTGTACCATTTAACTGCCAGAATTTGGAAAGGAATCCCATTCCAAATCACTAACCTGAACAAGTCCAGGTTTGCATGTGCTGAGTCTCTGTGCTTGGTGGTTCTGTGTTTCATTGTTGCTCTTTCACACTCTCAAGTACAGATTTCCTTGGGACATGCTTCTTCAAACTATTATTATTGATTGATTGATTGATCCTTTCATGGTGTTAGTTGACTTAATTATTACTGTTATCGAGTGCCTAACATGCTTAAAAGAAGGAAAGATTTATTTTGCTCTTGGTGTCAGTAGTATGGCAGAGCACAGCAGCTCATATTATGGCACTCAGGAAGCAGAGATGTGAATACAGAAAGGAGCTAGGATAGCATCAAGGATCTGCCCCAGTGATTTTCTGCTTCCAGTGAGACCCTGGACCCTTAAGTTTACATTTTCTCCCTAAATAGCATTTCCAGCTGGGGACCATACTTTGAACACATGAGCCTATGGAGACATTTTATATTCGAATAATAGCATCCTACCACTGGCCTCCAAATGCTCCTGGTTATTTTATAATGCAAAATCCACTTGCTCCATTTCAAATGGTGTCCAAGGCTAGACAGTTCTTACTTTATTGAAAATTTCAAGTTTAAAGTCTCCTCTGAGATGCAAGGGAAACTTAGCTGAGAGCCCTTGTAAAATAAAAATAAAGATATACACTTCAAACCTAAAATAGTACAGAGTAAATAAACATTCCTATCCTAAAAGGGAGGAATAAGAAAATAGCAAACATCAAACCAAAGTCATATTGAAACCCTAGATGGCAACCTAGAAACCAGTAGCTTTTTATGTCCCACATCAGGGATACATAATAGTGGAATGTGGACTCCTAAAGGCCCAGGCAATCTTGTGCCTAAAGCTTGTCATTTGTGGCACAGAGAACTTCTCCTTTGCTCTGGCTTTGCATCATACGTGAAGCTTTCCTCCAGAGGTATTTCATTTCTCGGCACCTCATTTCTTTGGGTCCATTGCAACTTTAGCTTCACTCTGTAAGTCTGCTCAAAGACTGCTTTCAAGAAACTGGACCTTCCATATGCTCTTCATTTTAAATATCAGTAGCAGTCTCTAAGGCCCTGTAACTCTAGAAATTATGTATGCTTGCAAACCCAACATCATGTGTATGAAGCCACAATGTACTGACAACTTGAGCAATGGCCAGGCTTCCTTAGAACACAGTTGTATTGACTTCTGAGTGCCTGGATGACTGAACTTGAAGAAATATATCACCAGAAGGCTCTATGTGAGAAGAGCACCTACTTATTCTCTTCTTAAATACAAATAAGTAAAACATGTATACCATTCAGGTTGGTTTGAATAGAGTATGGCCAATTCCAGAGATATCTCCAAATCATTATTCCTGTTATTCTGATGCAAAGTACTTGACTCTTCTCTAATGTCTCTCTCTCTCTTTTTTTTTTTTTTGGTCCTGTTGAGGGGACTGAACTCTGGGCCTGGGCGCTGTCCCTCAGCTCTTCAGCTCAAGGCTAGCGCTCTACCACTTGAGCCACAGCGCCACTTCCGGCTTTTTTCTTTTTGCTTATGTGGTGCTGAGGAATCGAACCCAGGGCCTCATGCATGCAAGGCAAGCGCTCTACCACTGAGCCACCTTCCCAGCCCCCTCTAATGTCTGTTGTATCCTCAGCAGCTGCACTTTCCTCAGTCTCAACACTTCATTTCTGGGTATACTCTGAGTTTTTCCAACTTTTCTACTCTATTCTTAATTCAGATTCCTATTATGAACTTGGCAAAAGCAGCAAGCAATACCCATACCACAGCCTAAAGGATGGACTACCTTGAAACTTCCTCAAGTAGAAGAGTTTTTTTGCCATTACAGTCAGCATCCCACAGTGTCTCAGGAAATGGACAAAAACAAACAAGATGTTTTGCATACTTTAATATGGATAGCCTCCAGTACAATTCCTCATAGAATTGAGTTCTAATTACCATCTGCAACATCATGAGACTGGCTTTCACTGTTTGCATTCCTGTTGGAATCATGGTCCTCAAATATTCTACCACAGTCATCCATTAAGCTCTGCTAATAGTATTCCAAGGCTCTGTAGCTCAACTCTCAAACATTTCTAAATTTTCTCACTAGCTGCTTATAAAAGTTTCTGAACAATATGATTAAGTAATCATAGTAGCTACCTACTTTTTTGTGTCATTTTTCTGTTATCTTTTTAAAAATTTATCTCTGGGACAGAATGTCTATAATTAACAAAAGGAAAACTTACTCTGCTTACATTTTTAGATGATTCAGTCCACCATGTTGAAGAGTGAGTGGCAGGGTAGAGTAGCTCACCTTATGGCACCTAGGAAAAGAGAGCGAGACAGAGACAGACAGAAGCAGACAGAGAGAGAGAGAGGAAGTAAGAAAACAAGAGACCAACAGGGACTAAAGGACCTCTGTTGTCTTCCAGGTATGGTTTTGAAGGGTTTCCAACACAGTCCCAAAAAACACACTATCTGAGGACCATATTCCTAACAATGAGTTTATGGAGAACATTTTGTTTTTAAACTAGAACGAAACCACAACTAAGGACTTGTTCATGATAGACAATCACTTTGCCATTGAGTTACATTCTAAGCTTTGTGGGCTGTACCTTGTTTCTTATCTGGTATCATAAGCTACCTCCTTCCTCTTTAATATCAGAGACCTCCTAATCATTTTCCAACTCTATTTTTGTCTTACAAAGTTGAACTTGCACTTTTGCAATGTAAAATGAAAACATTAATTATATCCCCATCCATTATTTAGAATTTCTCACTCAGCTCTTTAAAGGTAATCAAACATTCTGAAATTCTAGTATTTGTATACACCTCTGGAAACATTATAGACCAATACAAAAAGCTTTTCTTCAACAGAGATATCTGGGCAGAGCATGTGAGGGCAAGCAAGAGGTATCACTTAGGCTGTCAGGATGATGGTCTCTCAAACTTTATCTGTCATTGTATATGTTCTTCTTGTTGAATGAGAAATTCATACAGATGAAGGCAGGACCTGAAGACAATGGCTGTGCTGCTGATATTGCATTTTATTTTATCCAGCCCCATTCCAGAAACAATTTGATATGAAGTAATAAGAAATATCACCACTATTAAATTAAATTTAATTCATTTTATGACACTCTCATTCAAAAAACAAGTACTGGCGTACAACCATATTCAATATTTATCTGACTGATTTTAACATTAAAGTAATAATATCTTAATAATTTTGGTTTTAGAATTGTGAGTTATAATAGATGGAAAAGCCTACTTTGAAAGTTTCCTATTTCTGCTAGTTATTGTAAGACTCTGAAGTTTATCTCATTAGGGAACAAAAATTCTTATTTAAATGAGTAGAATATATGATTGGTCATCTTGAATCTTTATAAAATTATGACCTACAAATCTTGCTTTAATTATTCATATTTGGTCTAGGTAAGAATAACAACTATGTCTCTTAGTCTTTCTAAGTCTTTGTTCACTCGTATAGAAATTAGAGGTAATAACTGTGCATTTTGATTCTTGTGAGTTAAAGTATATGAAAGCATTACTTTTGTTCCTAGTACCCAGTAAGTATTCAAAAAAATGTTAGCTAATTAAGGTCTGATGGAATCACATTCACCAAATGAGGTATGCATTCTCTAGTCTTCTTTTAAATCTTCAAATAAAACCAGTCATAAGATTTGACTTGTGTCTTTGTGGATTAATGAACACTTAAAGCAATGGTAGTGTTTCAAGGTTGCTTCATGAAGTTATCACAGACATGGCAGATAGAGAAGCTGGATGGTTTTGTGTCCTTTAATGTCCTTTGTTCACAGAGTACAAATAACACAACTTTTGAAGCTTTATAATTTCTATTGTAAGCAATAAAATACACTATACTTGAATAGTGAATGACATCAAATACTTCAGATAATCCTCAATAGAATATACAGCTAAATCCTTCTGTCAACAGTATTAAAAGGAAATATGTTTAGTTTGAGTGTCTGTTTTGCTGTATTTCTTACTAAAAATTCTCAGCAATCTGAACTGTGAGCTACTTCCTTTAATAGAGGCATTATTGTTTTGGTTGCCAGACTTCCTTTAACTCTACACAGTGGGATCCAGCTGCCGAAAGTTAGCTGTGAGGCTGATGTCTATGAAGTACATCTAATCCATCTCATCAAGTTTATAGAGGACTTGAAGTGTAGCCAAGAAAATTAATGAGTGGCATAATTGAGCAAGCTCAGCTGCAGGGGATCATGTTTCCCTCCACACTATTCCTGTATTTAATGTATTGCACCAAGTGTAAATATTTGTTCAGTGTGAATAAAGGAATGAGAGGAAGAAGGTAACAAACAGAAAAACAAATTGTGCATCAACAGTTTCAAAATACTTGAGGTAAAAGTTTCTCAAGTATATTTACAGAAGAAAAATAATGACAGTGTGCTTTCAAATTGTTGGCTTTGAAGTGTTCTTTTATAGAACGATGCTAAGACTGTGATTTGGGAAGATGGAGTAATATTTACAAGATGCCTTCACTATTGGAACTTTACAAATCAGATTTCCTTCTTGGGCCTCAAGTTTTTTCTTTGAAATGACACTTAGATATGAAATCAAACATACAGATATAAACAGATTTTTAAGATGGCTTATGCTGTTTTCTTACAGGTCCTTCAGTTGAGACCAAAGATTGGAGTCAGAGGACTGCATAAATCACTCACTGATGTGGCCTTGGAACACCATGAGGAATGTGACTGTGTATGTAGAGGGAACACAGGAGGGTAGTTGTGCCCAATGAGCATCCTAAACCCAGTGCTGTCAGGGGCAGCTTCTGGCTTTGTTAGAAAATTTAGGCATTATCTCCACCCATAATCTCAGTTGTTGGCTTCAAGGACCTTCCATCTGCTCAAGAGGAGTGGAGTTAGGAGTTGTGAAGAAGAACTTCAGAGAAGAGGCCCAAAGGACTAGAGAACAAGTCTGCAAATCATGAGGAAAATTAAAACTAAATGTCTATCGATCACTAGCCACTGACAGAGTTGATGTATTCTTTTTTAACTAGCTACATTCTATATTTTATCCTGTTGTGGCTTAGGTTAATGTCAGTAAAAGAAAAACCTGTACAAATGAGCATCTGACTTATTTACCCTGCTTAACACAAAAACTCATTGTTGTGGGCCTAAAATTATAGGAAATCTAGAATTTTCCCTTTATATTTGCATAAATAAACCAGAATACTCTATGTTCTCTAAACTTAGTTTTGGAAGAGGAACTATGTTGCTACAGTTTAAACTGGTGCCATTGGAAAGACTGGATTTTTCCATACTTCTTATTCAAACATCAACCATTTGGAAAAAGAGACCTTCATTTAGGGTTCAAAGGAGGAGAACCCGAAGAAAAGAAGAGTAGCCTTACCTTCATTTTATTCATAAGTTGGTTCATGTGTTTTAATGTGTACATTTTTATTTTCTTCTTTTGACATTATAACTGTTGGCTTTTCTAATCTTGTGAAATATATCTATTTTTACCAAAGGTATTTAATATTCTTTTTTATGACAATATAGATCAATTATTTTAGCTTTGCAATGTTTATTTTCTAAACAGAATTGTTATAGCCAGAGGGACAAAGGTGATATAAAATATAGTTGCTCTGCCAAAAACATGTATTTTTCCTCTTGTATGGTGCTTGAGCTTAGACTAATCTACATTTTTAAAATATGGAAGTGGAAAATCAAAAGAACTGGTAAATCACAAAGATTTTTGGGAAACGATTAAATTATCCTTTCTTCCATCTCTGCTATCAGGATGCAAATAAACAGCAATTAATGAAAGGTAGACATTCAGATTTAGTCATTATTAATGTAACCTGTCCTTGGGGGAAATAGAAACTTAGCTCAGGAGAACTTAAAGCACTTGATAAAATTGACTGGACGACTTCCTAACAAAGCATGTTGTGCTATAGGAACACATCCTATTTATTGAGATGCTAGGGTTTTTCTTACCTTTGAACTCTGTTCCATACACTTGTATAAATACATTATTATTTTTATGTACAGAAGCATATCCTTTAACTAGTTCACTTATTGTACTCTTTGGCAATTGACATGAAAATTAGTAAAATACTTTGCTTGTAAAATGCGTAATATTGTGCCTAGGTTGTGTGGTGATTCTTTGAATTAAAAATGTATTGAATAATTGAATAAAAGAATGTGGCTATTTTGGGGAAAAACTCGTGTGTGTGTGTGTGTGTGTGTGTGTGTGTGCGCGCGCGCGCGCACGCACACACGCGCATTTCATCTCGTTTAGATTCTGAGAAAATGAAAATGCTGAAATTTTGTGTTACCAAGGTTTTTATTATGCAAAACTCACATTAATTAAAAAGACCATAGAGAAAGGAACTATTTAGAGTCCAAGCCTGATACATCTTCCTGTTATTTTGGAACAGTAATTTTCTTTCCTTCACTGGTCTTAATGATTTCTGATTAATTAAACTGCACCTGTCATAAAGTAACCTGTGACTTTTGTAATAAATTTATTACACGACAACATGAAATTGAGGAAATCTCATCAACTTCTGGCCTTTATTTTTTTTATTTTCAAGAGCAACCACTAAAAGGATTACAAATCATAATTGATATGGATTAGAATAATTTTCATAGCACCCTTCAAGGCATGGCTTCTCAGTTCCAGATGTAAATCTCCTGGTGACGGGCATTTTCAGTACCTGGAGATGGCCAATGATCATATCCAGGTGTTAGCTACAGACTGCCCTTCCAGATCTGTTTTTTTTTTCCTGTGCCTGTTATACCCTGTAATCCTACCCATCCTCTTACCACATGACAAAACAATAAAAAAAATAAGCTTATGATCTTTCTCATTCTCTCCACCTTGTTGATTTGTTTCAGCCTTATAAAAGCATAGCTTAACTATGCTTAATAGACATGCAATCCATTGGCCATTTGCAAGTGTCACTAGCATAGTAAAAACTGAAACATTACAGTAAATGACCCATTGAAGTGTTTAGTATTTCTAACAGTTGCATGGGCTTACCTTCTTTCTCTTGTAATTTTAAAGTTCATCTTTTTGTTTTCTTATGACATGTTGACAGTAACATTTTTCTCTCTAGAGATAGAAATTCTACCTCCCATTGCAAGTGAATAAGTGGAACCAGCAAAAGGACTGCCTGATTCATGACTAATTACTTAGATATCTCATCATATTGATATCTCGGAGCAAACACAATGAGTTGATAACATATGTGTTCCCAATGTCTCAGAAGTCCAGGCAATGTCATTGTCTTGACCACACAGTCTTTATCACATGTAGCTCATCCTTTATCCCTGAATGGGAGGAATGTTTTCTTGGTGGTGTTTGCTTTTACTGTTATAAGTGTTTGTGACTACATTTTTCTGTCTATATCAAATTTCTATTTTCCCCTTTTCATGTAATAATCCTTATATATACTTTGAAATGTAGAAAGAACAAAGTAAGGACAACCCTACACTGAAAATCATGCATTTGTATTTTATTTTCACAGTACCACTGTTTACAGGTGCACTCACTTATACTTGTTATTTGGTTTAAGGAAAGTTAAAAAATACAAGTTCTGTAGTTCATGTAATACCCTGAACTAAAAAAGGATAATGTAAAATCCTGTCTCCTCTGGTATTTTAATCTATTGTAATCATGTATTAGAAATGAAGCAAACTGATGAACACCTTTTACCTTCATAAGGAGAAGGAAAATTGAGATTATAGTAGATGTCTTGGTTGAGCTTGCTAATGCAATGCACTATAGACTATGGGGCTTATAAGCAATAATTTATCTCTCCCTGTTCTGGAGGCTGGAAGTCTAAGATCAAGTTCTAGCATGATCAGGTTCGGTGAAGTTCATTTCAGGCTTGACTGCTGTCTTTGTTGTATCCTCCCATGGTGAAAAGTGAATGAAAGAGTTCTTTTCTCTACCGTGTGTGTGTGTGTGTGTGTGTGTGTGTGTGTGTGTGTGTGTGTATACTACTTCTCTTTTCTCTACCGTGTGTGTGTGTGTGTGTGTGTGTGTGTATACTACTTCCAGGCTGTTTCTTAGCTTTTCTGCACAGGACTAAATTCTCTACCACTTGAGCTACACCTCCACTTCCAGATTTTTACTGGTTAGAGATGAAGGTCTCACTGATTTTCCTGCCTGGCTTCAAACCAAAATCCTCAGATCTCAGCTGCCTGCTGGGATCTACTTTTTAAGGCCATGATCCCATTCATGAGGGCTTCATCCTTATGACTTATCTTCCACAGGTTCCACTTCCTAATACCATCATCCTGGAACAAAGTTTTCACCTTATAGCATTTGGATAGACATTCAATCCTTGCAGTTGATCAGTTACTTTCTATCCTGTTGTGACTGGTCATCAGATCTCCTTGACTCTCGTAGTTGTGTCTATTGCCCCATGTTTGAAGCTGCTGCTCTAATTTGGCCTTTCACTGAGATTCAGACCTGACTTGTGGCCTAACTCTTGTCTGATCTGCCCTCTGCACTGCCTTTCAAGTAAATCTGATTGTGTAACATCAGTTGAAGTTTCCCAGTGGAACTCCAGGAGATTACATTTTAATCTTTGTATGGCACACAAAATCCTTCATAATCTCATTGTTTACTACTTTCTGTTCATTTTACACCCTCATGCCTAACATCACTCCAGTGAATTCTTGAGGTTTCCTAAGAATGCAGTATTGCTGAACATTTGCATGCAGTACTCACCTTGCTGTCCTGGGAGTACAAATTCTGGTGTTACCTACTCATAACTTCCTCTCTTGTTTCTTTCTAAATGCCCCATTCTCTGGAAGGTTTTCCTCTTCCTTTCTATTTACCCCATGTCACAGGAAAGGTTCAGTTATGACCATTGTCATGTTTTATTATGATTATCTTCCCTCATTTTGATTTCCATTAGATGCTTGCTCTATTGGGAATCTTTCCATGAATCAACCCCTCTTCCCCCACTGCCTTAGCTAGAGATTGAATCAAATTGAGGATCAATAACAATTTGCATCAATGAATAAATGAAATGACTATACAAATGAATAAGTTATTAGTGTAATACTAATACGGCATCAAAATCCCAGAGTTTCTAAATGTTTCTGAACATCTGCTATAAAATACAAGACTTAGTAGATGGAAGCTGGCTCCTATAATTAGTCCAGTCTTCTAGTTCTGTTGAAGTACCTGCCAACACACCTAGAACATGTATATAAAAACGCCCATTCCTCATTGTGCAAAATCATATTTTTTTTAATAATCTTTGAGACTTTATGTTCTAGTCAGTGATTTCCCTAAGAAGTCCACCTTAGACTATAGTGTCCCTTAAATTTGAGATGCATGAATTCATTTGTTTGCTTTTTATATCTTATATACTATCACTTAAATTTTCAACATATAAAAGTCTTCAATTGTAATGATGAAATCAGTAGTAGATGACTCATTATCTAATCATTTACCTATTTTGACTTGTTTTACATAATCAATCATATAACATATAGCTCTATGGCATACTTATATTTTCCAGAAACTAGCAATCTAGCAATATCTCCAAACCCCAGACTTCTAAGCTATGTATACTTCGTTCTTCTACTTTCTCCAGTCACTGGGTTATTGAAATGATAATTATACTGTTTGTCCTATCTGAATCACTTCCCCCCTGAGTAATTATACCTTTTGTACACATTTGAAGAAAGCATTTGCACTTTTACCTATTCCTGGTCCAGTTACTTTCCTGATTGCTAAACCAATAAAAATAAGTCATATTCAGAAAAAAAACTAGACAATTTAACGATGAGCTTTATCCTTTTTGTAGGGAATGTGTAGCTTAAAAATAATGTTGAAAACATTTTAAGTTATAGTCATGATTCTAGATGGCTTTTTTAAATAAATTAATAAGTTGTTTTTAAATATTCATTTGGAAATGCAAGAAAGCCAGTATAGCCAGGAAATTTTGGGAAAGTAGTATAGAGATACAGGATCCCACTTCCCAACTTCAGCACTTACTTTCAAGTTATAGTAGTGTGATGAGGAAAATAATATTAGACCACAAATACATAGGATATAATTGAGAAGTAGAAATAGACACTACATTTACCATCACTTGACTTTTGACAAGAGTACCCAGGCAAGTCAATGGTTAAAGAATAGCTATCCTGCTGGGCACCGGTGGCTCACGCCTGTAATCCTAGTTACTCAGGAGGCTGAGATCTGAGGATCACAGTTCAAAGCCAGTGCGGGCAAGAAAGTCCATGATCCATTCATCTACGGAGGGGCATCTGGCCTGGTTCCATATCTTAGCTATGGTAAATAAGGCTGCAATAAACATAGTCATGCTGGTAGCTTTAGTGTAGTCTTGTCTGTGATCATTTGGGTAAATGCCAAAAAGTGGGATTGCTGGGTCATAGGGGAGCTCTATGTGGAGTCTTTTGAGGAACCTCCATACTACTTTCCAAAGTGGTTGAACAAGTTTACACTCCCACCAAAAATACACAATGGAATTCTATGCCTCCATCAGAAAGAATGACATTGCCCCATTTGTTAGGAAATGGAAAGACTTGGAAAAAATTATGTTAAGTGAAGTAAGCCAGGCCCAAAGAAACATAGGTCCCATGGTTTCCCTTACTTGCAATAACTAGTATATGTCTGAGTCAAGCAGAAAAGGTCAGATAAGTTGATGTTAGGGAAATGAACCCTAAGATATGTATTCAAATGTTTTTTTTTCTTTCATGCGATTGTTTTTAACACATAAGATTATTTCTTTGTTGCTTTGTATGTCCCTCCTTCACTGTATAACCCCTGCTTTCACAGTATTTGATGTTGTTATAATTTGTGGAGGGGAAGGGAAAAAACAAATCGTTTAAATAGGGATACAGGTGGACCCATTGCAACAATGAAACGTGCAAGTCGTTATGTCGAAAACGAACAATACAGCTTTGTTGGGGGGGTGGAGAGTTGGGTGGGAGGTTGGGGGAAGATGGGATGGGAAGGGGAAACAAGGGAGGAGGCTACAATACTTGATAAGAAATGTACTCATTATCTTGTCCATGTAATTGTAACCCCTCTGTACAGTATTTTCACAATAATTTTTTTAAAAAAGAAGTGAAACTCTTAACTCCAATAAACCACCAGAAAACCAGAAGTGGTGCTGTAGCTCAAGTAGTAGAGTGCTTGCCTTGAGCTGAAGAGCTGAGGGAAAGGGCTCAGGCTCAGAGTTCAAGCTCCACAACCGACAAAAAAGAAGAGAGAGAGAGAATAGCTTTCCTGACAAATAATGCAGGAACAACTGAACATCCACATGCAAAAGAATGAATGTGCACTTTTTCATTGTACCACATATAAAACTAACCCAAATGAATCAAAAGTGTAAATGAAACTTTGAGGAAGACATAGAATAAATTTTTTATGACCTAGAAGTGATTCTCAGGCACAGCACCAAAAACACAAGGAAAAAAATAAACAGAAAGGTAAACAGAGTATCATGAAAATTAAAATAATGTTT